GCCATTAATCCCTCCTCGAAATACTCCCCTCTTGGTTCAAACACACTTAAAACTCTTGCCACTTGCTAAAGCAGCACTAGAAGTCCTCTTTTGTGTCTTCAAGAGTTGTGATTAAAAAAAAAAGTGGATGTTGCTACCGAGTGCCATTCAATAGGAAGGCAGGTGTCTCCTCATCCACCAGGTCCAGTACCAAGAGACTTCTAGCTCTTCACCAATGTTGAAATGACCCTGAATAGTAAACATTCTCAAATAATTCAGGACCTTGAGGTAACCACAGCAGCATAACTAGACACTCATGAAAGAAGACTGCTAGAACTGCTTCAGAAAGTGGCAAGAATGGTGGAATGTGTTGGAACCCTCAATATTTCTTTAGAAGTCTTCCCAGAGCCCACTAAAGTTGTTCCAGCTAGCCAATCCTGAACCCGCTTACTCTGTCTGGCCCTTCCTTCTCAAAAAACCCATAATAAGCCTTTTTTTTTTTTTTTTTTCCCCTGGGGTAGGTGCTGGGGATGGAACTCAGACCTTCTCACGGAGCTACATTCCCAGCCATTTATTTATTTCTTTATTCATTCATTCATTCATTCATTCATTTACTCATTTTGAGACAAGGTCTTATTAAGTCACTCAAGCTAGGCTCTAATTTGCGACCCTCCTGCCTCAGACTTCGAGAGGACTGGGATTATAGGCATGCACCACTGCAGCTGGTTACAATAAAGACTCTTACTACAGTTCCTATGTTCCCTCTTCCTTCCTTGTGACCAAGCCTTGTGCCTCCCGAGTGGCCCTCCATGGTGCTGTGTTCTCCCCAGGGAACTGTGAGCAACAAAACTGTAAAATTCCCTCCTGTTTCTCTCTTGCTCTCTGTCTGGTGTCACTGTATCTCACTGAAGGTAATATGAAAATATTCTCATATGCAAATAAAAACACTGGAATTCGTGGGTGGAATTTCATATCCCAAGCAACCTATCTACTCTGTGGGTAGATGTGATGCAGACGTCTCTCTAGGGGATGGGGATTTAGCTCAGTGGCACAGCGCCTGCCTGGCAAGTGCAAGGTCAACAGTTTGATTCCCGGTACCGGAAAAAAACCAGAGGTCTCTCTAAGCTGAAGTACACTGGTTTTCTCTCTTTTAGTGAATTGTTCCTAGCCTACAACTTAATGACTGATTTATCCCCTTTTTGCTTTTTTCTCTTCTAGCTGCTTCAGCTGGTACATCCCTCAGTGAAAAGGATGCAGGCAAGCAGGAGCATGACACAGATCATGCCAGGAAACACAGTATTTTTCTTTTCTTACTTTCCTCCTGCCTAACCTATCCAGGGCAGGAGAAGTGGTGGGTTACATAGCCTTTTTTCTTTCCTATGGTGCTGGGGACTAAATCTAGGGCCTTCACACTGAGCTTTGTCCGCAGTTCTTTTTATTTTGGGACAGGGTTTTGCTAAACTGCCCAGGCTGGGCTTGTACTTAGCTTCCCAGAGTCCTGGGATTACAGACCTGTGCCACCACACCCAGTTAAATTGTCTTATTTTACAGGTGAGACGATTCCTGGTACAAAAAAAAAAAAAAAAAAAGGTCTGTGCAGGTGAGAAAAACTAACACTCTGATGTCCCATCTCATTTGACTCTTTGGTCAAGTAACTTAGCTTGACACTGTGTTTAAGTAAAGAAATGAGGTTAGAATTGAAATTTCTGGTTATACCTAGGACTTTTTTTCACTTTTCACAGATTCTTTTAAAGCTTAAAGCACATTACTGAAAATAGGGGAAAACACAAGGGACAAAAATTGCTATGGCTGGGCTGGGGATATAGCTCAGAAGCACGGGGTCTTGCTTGGCAAGTGGAAGGTCGTGAGTTTGATTCCCAGTAAAAAAAAAAAAAAAATTGCCATGGCCCTGCCTCACAGAATGTTAAGATAACAAATTTTTAAAAATCAATTTATATAGATTTGATTTAAAACAAAACAAAACCTTAAAAGAATTAAGATGTGTTATGTACATATAACATCTCCCCACAGGGAATATAAACATTATATATTGGAAACATGTACTAATAAAAAATAGGAAAACAAACAAAAATCCAAAACAAACTCCTTGCACATTATACCTTTCTTTACCTTTATCACTATATAGTCAAAAGAATTTTCTTTGTAGTCATAGTAGTTACTGTCTGAAGGATTCCTTTTTTTTTTTTTTTTGGTTTTTTTTTTTTTTGAGACTAGGTCTCACTACATAGTTCAGGCTGGTCTCAAACTCACACTGATCCTCCTGCTTCAGCCTCCCAAGTGCTGGGATTACAGGCACGCACCTTTGTTTTGTTGTTGTTTGAGATAGAGTCACGCTGTGTAGTTTAGGCTGGCCTTGAAATATATAGCCCAGGCTGGTCTTGAACTCACAGTGACCCTCCTGTCTCAGTCTTCTGAGTGCTGGGATTACAGGCTTGCACTACCATGCCGAGATATAGGGGATGTTTCTGATTATAAATCTTTATATGAATTTCTATTTCCCAAGATATGTTCCCATATCTAAAATAGTACAGTACTTGGATAATGCCTTCATTAAATTTGGTATTCTGCTTTAAAATGTATAGGGAGTGGTTTCTTATGTTATTTGAACACATGGATTTCTCCTGTCTGCCTAGTTCTTACGCTTCTATTGTACTGACTTGTTATATCTTAAATCATTTTCTATTAACACTTGTTTCTAGTTTTGCACCACTGTAACACTGCGCTGAACTCCTCTGGTGCATTCATCTTTCTCCTAATTTTTCCTTCAGCTGTATTCCTAAGACTGTAATTACCATACCTGAGTATGAATATTTTTAGGATTTTAATAAAAATTGCCAAATCTTCACAGAAGTATCAGTTTCTGTTCTCCCAGCCTGTTTTATTATTGTCCTTACCTCTGCTTGCTCGTGTGGACCCAAAGAGGTTAGATTGAGCCCTGGGACATCTCTAATTCACTAATGGCCACCTCCCATTTACTTCCCCGAGTAGAACTTCAGTTCCTCAAACCTTAGGTGATCTGTCAGCTGCAGAACTGGGATGAGCCATGGATCGTGGATCTACCAAGTGCTGGGCATAGGAAGGCATCCAGGAGTGCTTGCTCAGGTGAGTGAGAAGGAAAAGCACATTAGTGAAATCCCTGCTGTGTCTCAGATTCTGTACTAGGTATTTGGCACGTACTGTCTGCTGCATTCCTACTGCTCTTAGGATCCAGCTGCAGTAGGGATCAGAAGATAGGAGTAGAGTAAGTCAATTGCAGGGTGGGAGCCACACATTCAGATAAAGGGGAAAACTAACATTGACTGCACAAGCTGTCAGATCACTTGAGTTCTTAAGCGTCAAATGTAAGTCCGTCTCTTTCTTTGTAAATGGGGATGGCAGAGGTTCCTACTTAACTCAGAGGGCTGCTTGGAAATCAAATGGTGGAATAAATGTGGGTACATTTTATCAACACAGTATTACATTAGTGAACTCTACTTGTGCAAGTTAATCTTAATTATCCACTTGACTGGATTAAGAAATTCCTGGAGATGTGTCTGGATCACAGAGCCTTATGCTCCTCCGTGGATGAATCCACTGATGTCCATAGCTGAATGTGCTGTTAGGAAGTGGAAGTAGGGCCTAGTTGGAGGAGAGGGGTCACGGGGGTCGTGCCTTTGGAGGGTGCATCTCTCCACGGCACGCTTCCTGTATTCTACTCCCTGCTGCCATGAAAGTAAGCAGCTTCACTCTACCATGAGTTTCCACTGTTTCTGCTTTACAGCCATCCAACCATGAATTGAAACCTATGAAACCATGAGCTAAATAAAACACTTCCTCTTCCAAGTTGTGTATTTCAGGCATTGTTTTCCCAGCAATGGGAAAGCTGACCAGTAAGAACCACAGGAACTTCTGTCCTCAGTGAGATTCCGTTTAGAAGATCTCAAGCAAACCCTGCAGAAGCATTCCCTTACATCCCTCACAATAAGACATCTCATAGGGAAAAAAATGCTTTAGGCTGTTTGGAACCACTAGAGTCCATATATACATAACTTAGTGAATGGTTTAGTGATGACCTTTTTAGAAACCAAGTTTTTGCATGATTATTATGTGTTTCCTACAACAACCATTGAGCACAGTTAATGATTATTCAATAGATCACTCATATATGGCTCTATTTTTCTTTAGAAGCCACTTTGAAGATACCAAAGTATAGTACAACTATTGCTAATTTCCCACCTCTTTGTCTGTAACTCACTATTATTTGTCTATTTGTTTTCCTGAGAAACTATCTTGTAGATAACAATATGTAAAACAATAACCATTGACAATTTCCTACCACTTTGTCTGTAATTTGGTAAGCCCCCCCCCTTATTATCTTTTACTCTTAAAAATAAAGAAATCGAGTTTTCAAATAATGAACCCTATTAAATAGGTTGTGGAGGCTGAGACAGGAGGATCACCATCAGTTGGAGGCCAGCCTGGATGAGCTCAAGTGAGTTTAAGGTGGAATGGGGAAAAAAAGAGGCTCTTCAAAATAAATCTTCTTAGAAAGTAAAACACAGTGCCTCTTATATATGATGAAATTTACCTGGTATTTTGGAGATTGTGAAGTAAATGAAATCCTTTCCACCATCAATGATAATTCTAAGTGACCAAAATGAATTGTTAGGAAAGTAACTTAAGTGGGCATGCTTTGGTCCAAAGGCAGAGGTTGGAAGAGCAACAATGACAGGGTTGGGAATTTAGCTATGTATCAGCCCTTGTTCTTATAATTAAACATCCTACAAGTAACCACCTCATCTTTTGGTGGATTCTCTACTTACTCATTCTTCCTTCAATGAAATATTACATATACAGTATACACTGAGACTCAAGTCAGACCAATCCTATCATGTGTGGGATGCCCAAGAAAATACAATCAGTCCACAAGTGAATGGAATACTCTAAATGTCAAAGAATGGAGTGTCTGGACAAGTAAACCAAAAACAAGGCAAACAGAACTCAGATCACACACAAGCATATCAAAGTCATGGGCTTTTATTTCTATGGACGCTTTGGTGTCGGATAAGGTGTGTACTCTGTCTAAAGCTTCTCCCACATTCCAGACATTTGTAAGGTTTTTCTCCAGTGTGAGTTCTCCGGTGTTTAATAAGGGTTGCACTCTGACTGAAGCTTTTCCCACATAAAGAGCATCCATAAGGCTTCTCCCCAGTGTGGATTCTCTGGTGCTTAAAGAGGTCTGAACTCTGTTTGAAGCTCTTCTCACACTCCTCACATTTATAGCGTCGCTCTCCATTATGGAGTCTCTGATGCCTAAAATGCCTGGAATTATGGCAGGTCTCCTCACATTCCACACATTTACAGTATTTCTCTCCCGCATGTGTTCTCTGATGCCGATTTAGATGTGAGCTCTGTCTGAAGCATTCCCCACACTGCATGCATACATATGGCTTCTCACCCGTGTGTGTCCTCTGGTGTTTAATGAGAGCAGCACTCTGACTGAAGCTTTTCCCACATTCTTGGCATTCATAGGGTTTCTCACCTGTGTGGACTCTCTCATGTTTAAAGAGATCTGAACGCTGTTTGAAACTTTTCTCACAGCTATCACATTTATAAGGTCTTTCTTTGTAGAGCTGCCTCTGTGTCTCCAAAAGGCCAGAGCAAGGGACATTATCTCCAATGTCAACAGAGTTGTGAGGTTTTATCATGTGACAGTTCACTTTATCTAAACTTTGTTTGCGTTTGTTCCCGTGTTCTTTACCATCAATGGGCCTTGATACAGTCTGATTGTGCTGACCAAGGATAAAGCTGGAACTTCTGGCCCTGTTCCCAAATTCATTACTTTTAGAGACTCCTTCTGTGGAACCATTTGTACTGAAACTTGTGATGCTGGTGAGTCCTTGCTCTTCAGGAGAATTTTCAGGTTTCAGTGACATGAAGTTTATTGGCTGCTTTTCTACTCTGTCCTCATATATACTGCCACATTCAGAAAACAGGGGTTCCTTTCCTTGGGACACTTTCTGTAGCCACGGCTGGTGCTTTGCTTCTTTCAAAATTTTTTGCTTTTGAATCAACTCCTTGTTCTCAGCTTTAGTTTCCAAATCTGAAACATACAAATACAAGTTGCTGCCTGCATGAGAATGAAATAAGCAAGTGCTAACAGAATTTCCAAGCTCCCTTTTAAGTATTCTCCTTAAGTGAGTAAATTCTTTAAGTAAAATTATTTTTAATTAATCTGTCAGATGTGCTCATACTGAGCAGTGCAAGTGTCCATATCTTTCCTTTTATCCTTGTGCCGACACCCACCAATCTTCCTCTTCCCTGGCTCTAGTCCATTCCTATGGTAAGTCACTTCATAGGGAGAGATACCTTTGGAAGGCTGTCAAGGAAGGTGGTATAGCCGTTATCCCATGAATGAAGGATGGAATAACAAGAGAAATTCTATTCACACGAGGAGATACACTATTGAGAGACTAAGAAAGCTGGGCATGGTGGCACATGCCTGTTATCTCAGCAATTGGGAAGCTGAGGCAGAAGGATTGCCAAGAGTGAGGGCAAGGGCAGGCTGAGATACACAGTGAATTGGAGGCCAGCCTGAACTACACAGTGAGATCCTGTCTAAATAGCCATAACCAAACAAACAATAAGAAAAAGCTCATGAAAGCATCAACAATAGCTAAAATATTTCAGTAGAAGGGTTGAGAAAAAATGTCGCAGAAAGCAAGACTGAAAAAAAAAAGGAAATGGGGATCAATCCATGCGTTCCAACAGCCAACTGAAAGAACTTTCAGGAGAAAAGGAAAAACTGAGATAAAAGTAGATGAGTCAGATAAAAGCAGTAAGATGAAATAGTTCTCACAATTCAAAGAGCATCTATATCATAAGGGCCCAAATATTCAGTGAATTTATTTATTTAATCACTTTTTTTCTTTTTGGTACCAGGAATTGAACTCAGGACTTTGTGCTTGCCAGGCAGGCACTTATGCTGCTGAGCTATACACCTGGCCCTACTCAGTGAATTTAAAAACCCACACTGAGGACCCTCAGTGTGAAATTTCCTTTTACCAACAATAAAGAAAAGATCCTAAAAGTCTCCACACAGAACACACAGAATGCATACTATCCTGTTTGCTTTTACATGATAGGACAGGCTCAGGGAAACAAAGTTTCCCAAACTGTAAGTTCTCAAGATGGGAGGCAAGTCATGCTCTGTGAGACCAATAGGAAAGCACAGGAGATCAGGAAGCAGAAAAAGCAGAAGCAAGAGGAGAGCCTCAGCCCATGACACTGAGGATTAAACCTAAGGCCTTTGCACTGAGCTACACCTCCAGCAGTTTTTTAATTAGTTATTTTGGGACAGGGTCTCACTGGGTCTCTAAATTGCTCAGGCTGGACTTAGATGGTGTGGCCTAGATTTGAATGTGTAATTCCACTGCCTCAGTCTCCCAGAGTGCTAGCATTACAGGTATACATACAATGCCCAGCTACCCATGACATTTATTGAACAAGAAAGATAAAAAAGGCAAGGTGGGGCAGGTTGAACAGGCAATGACTAGTGAATAAGTCAGCAGGTCTCTAAGCCACAGGGGTGGTCCTTTGTTATCTGATGCCTGGACTTGGGATGCCAGATGCATAGGAGTACTGCTTCCAAGGTTGCTTGGAAGATATTCTCCACCAAATCAAAGGAGGAAACCAAGGAAAAAAATGTGAAAAAATCCAGGAAAGAGTAAAGGAATTTCCAGGGTGATAGTAAAAACAGCTATGATAGGTCTGGCAAAGACTGTTCTCTTAATACTATAGAGTACAGGAATCTTTGGGAGGTATCTCTCCAAGGGAAAGAAAAAAACTGGTAAGGCTGGGCATGGTGGTGCAGACCTATAATCCCAGCATTTTGGAGGCCAGTCTTGAACTCACTACATAGCCCAGGCTGGTCTTGAACTCGCAGCCGTCTCCGTGCCTCTACATACTGTGGAGTCTCTTCAGGAGCTCTCATATACGCATACAAGGATAGTTATGCACAAGGCCATTAGTGTCACACTGTAATGGTGAAACAGTAGACACTAACTGCCTATCAAGAGAATGGATACCCGGGGTGATGGTGCACACCTGTAATCCCAGCACTTGGGAGGCTGAGGCAGGAGGACTGTCACAAGTTCGAAACCAGCCTGAGCTATAAAGTGAGCTCAAGGCTAGCCTGAAATGCATAGTGAGACCCTGCCTCAAAAAGAAAAAAAAAAAGAGAGAGAGAGAGAGAATGGATAAATCAATTATGAAGGGTTTTTTGTTTTGTTCTATTTTTTTGCAATACTGAGAATTGAAACTAAGCCTTTAAAATTGAGCACATTTTTATTTTTTTAATTAAGTTTATTGGTACATTTTAGGTATAATGATCACTTTCATCATATGGCCTTTTTAAATTTTTTGAGACAAGGTCTTTCTAAATTGCTAAATTGTCCTGGCTGGACTGGGATTTGTGATCCTCTCTCAGCCTCTCAGAGTCCAGGAATTATAGGCATGAATCATTATGCCTGGCTGATTTTGCAGTTTTCACAGAATAAAATATATAAGTTCTAAAAGATAGCTTCATGTATCACCATGTATAAATCTCAAAAATGTAACACTGAGTAAAAAGAAGCATACAGGAATGATATATAAATTATAGTTATATGTATATATGGAAAAATACAAAATGTGTATGGAATGGATAAATACCACAATTAGGATACTGGTTACCTCTGAGAAGGAGGAAGGGCAACAGCTTCAGGGAGGGTACACTGGGTTTCACCTATGGCTACAAGATATTATTTCTTGGGAAAATAAAAAATGAAGCCAATATGGCCAGATATTAAGATTTTATAAACCTACGTGACAAATACACAGGTGCTCATTATATTTTTAAAATGATTTCTCTGGGGACTTCTGGGAACATTGCAGAATCATAAACAGCAGAGAAACAGCCTCCCTGAAATTTGGTGTCCAGATAATGGAATATAGCGACGTGAAGAGGGAGAAAGTTTCTACAATTAAATAATAATGCCAGTACAACATAGAGGAACTTATGGGACACAGTGAAAGCAGTTCTATGAGGAAACTTTATAGGAATGAATTCCCATATCAGAAAAACAGAGCCAGGCATGGTGGCCCACGCCTGTAATCCCAGCACTAGAGAGGCTGAGGCAGGAGAATCCTTGTGAGTTTGAGTTCGAGACCGCTCTGGGCTACAAAGTGAGCTTAAGGCCAGCCTGAGTGCATAGCAAGACCCTGTCTCAAAAAGGCAAAAACAAGAAAAACAGAGCAAGTTCAAATAAACATTCTAATGTTGAACCTCAAGCTTCTAGAAAAAGAACAGTCAAGCCCAAAGCCCTTATGAGGGAGGAAAGTATAAAGATCAGAGCTGAAATTAATGCAATGGAGACTAAAACCACAATGCAAAAAATCAATGAATCAAAGAGCTGGTTCTTTCAAAGATTAAATAAAATTGACAAACCCTTAACCAACCTCAGCAAAAAAAAGGAGAGACTAAGATCCATGCAATTAGGAAGGAAAAGGGTAAAATCACAAGAGATCCTACAGAAATACAGAAGACCATGAATACTTCAAGAATCTGTATTCTAATAAGATGGAAAATACAGAAGAAATGGATAGATTGCTAGATACATATGAATTACCAAAGTTGAATCAAGAAGTTATAAAAATAATAAAAAATTTAAATAAACCAGTATGAGTCATTGAAATTGAAGATACAATTAAAAATCTACCCACAAAGAAAAGCCCAGGTCCTGACAGATTCATCCCTGAATTCTACAAGAAATTTAGAGAAAAATTAATGCCACTACTGCTCAAATTCTTTCTCTACAGTGAGAAACTGGAAGTGTAAATAGAGCCAAAAGGTAGACACTGGGAAATGGGAAGAAAATTTTCAAACGAGAAAGGAAACAATGGGGAGCTGGGAGAGGATAAGGAAAGAAGGGACAAGGAAAAAGAGCAAAGGAAAAACAATGAAAACAAAGCTTTTGTAAATAAGGAGGGGAAGAGGGATTGACCGGAGGAGAGGGAAATGGGAGAAAGAGAAGAAGCAAACTATATCATGTATAGGTACAAATTCCCTAAGATCAATGTTATCATTACATACATCTAAAATGTACCAATAGGGCTGGGGATATAGCTCAGGGGCATAAGCGCCTGCCTAGCAAGTGCAAGGTCCTGAGTTTGATTCCCAGTACCAAAATAAATAAATAAAAAAAATAAAATGTACCAACAAAAATATTTTTCATATATATAAGTATTAACAATGAATGCAACAAAAGGTTTACTCTACCATCTAATTATAAGGAAGACAGCATGTTTTTGCATAGCAGACTGGTTCAGGAATGGTGATGAACCCAGCCCTTCACAGATCAAACACTCTATGAACCAGTAGAAGCCAGGCATGTTGGCACACACCTGTGATCCCAGCACTTAGGAAGCTGAGGGAGGAAGATCACTATGAGTTTTGAGTCCAGCCTGGGCTATCTAAGTGAGTTCAAGGCCAGCCTGCACTACATACTGAGACCCTGTCTCAAAAAAAAAAAAAAAAAAAAATTAATAAAAATAGTACAGTAACAGCACTCACTAGGCAAGACCATGCTCCAGTAATCCTGTGTGCTCTCCCTTCCGAAGTCCTTCTGAGCTGCATTCCGATGCTCCCACTCTTCCCAGGTAACAGACACAGCCTCAAAGGTCATCAACCCCTGGAACAATATGAGATCCCCGTTTAGTACCTGCCATTCCTGGACGGTGCTGCCACTCACCTAAGGATGAAGCCAGACTCAAGAGGTAGAGGAGGAAGCACTGAGAATCAAAAACACAGCTGAGGAATCCTTGCCAATGATTTTTGCACTTACTGGAGCGTTCTGAAGGGGGCAAAGACAGGCGTAAACAGCCAAAATATTAATGCCACTTTGTTTATATGCACCACTATTCACTTTTACTCTTGCAGGTAATTAGCTGCTTATCCCAGTGACATTTTTCTCTTCCCACTTTTAAAACCAAGTTTAGAGGACTCTGATCAGTTAATGGTGCTAATACCTATACAGTAACATGTCCTTTCCTTGTTTTCAGTGGAGGCACGATATGGAGTTGTGTAGAAGTATGTAACCGCTTAGGTGAAAAGCTTGACATTGGGCAATGAACCAAGGTCACAGGTTTCTGCTAATGGTGTAATACCGTATCACTATTTGATTCTCAACTTATGCAAGGTATGTTTGTGATGACTAAAACTAGTTAGGCTTGGCTTTGGTCAGAAAGCAGCAAATTGGATAAAAGGACAAGTACCCTAAAGTACAGAATTAGGTACAAGGGCTGTCTCTCACGGAAACAATGCTCATGTAAACCCCAGTAGGAAACTGGGCTTGGTGGCACACACCTGCAAAGGCAGCGCTCTGCGAGGGGATGAGGAGCTTGCCAGTCTGAGTCCACACTGGGCAATTTAGCAACTCAGTGAGATCTTGGTTCAATATAAAAAATATTTAAAAAGCTGGGGAGTAGCTCCGGGAGACAGCCCTGGGTTCGACAGCCTTTATCTAAAAGCATGTTTTAATCCAACAATATTCTATGGATTATAATCATATTGGATCTGCTTTTGCTGAAAGCCCACCACAAACTCGCCACGGGGACATACAGTAACGATTGCAGGTTGAAAAATGCATCCGCGTGGAAGGAGGTCGGCCCAGCAAACAGTTAAAAAACGAAAAGGGACCTTCCCATGCAAAGTGGTTTGGAAACTCCTGCTCTAGCATAAGTAAATTAAGGACCTGAACTCGCTTTCCATCCTGACATCTCTTTCCCAAAAAGTCTACTACAGGGGAGGGTGGGCGTGCCCTGGCGGGAGAACAGTAATTGGTGTTGGTCCAACGCTGAGGTCTTCCTAGTCAGTTTCCTAGGGAAAGAAAAGAACGCAGGTGCACCTGAAGTTCACAGATGTGATGCGGGAGGAGAGGAGGGTAAGAAACGCGGCGCATCGCTCCCGCATCTGGTGACCGCCCACCACCTCGCATAGTGTCTGCTCACCCGGGGCGGGGTCCGCGCCGGCGCTCGCTGCAGAGCCCGCGCCAGGGCCGAAGCCTCCTCCCCGCTCTCCGGGCAGAGTCTGCGCGCCCAGACCTGCAGCTCCGCAGGAAGGATACTCAGGAACTGCTCCAGCACCACCAGCTCCAGGATCTGCTCCTTGGAGTGCAGCTCGGGCCTCAGCCACCGACCACACAGCTCCCTGAGCCGGCTCAGCGCCTCTGCGGGCCCGGCCGCCTCGTGGTAACGCAGCCGCCTGAACTGCAGCCGGGAACGCTCGGAATCCGTCCAGGGCCCGGGCGGCTCGGCCTCCAGCCCCGCGCGCCAGTCTTCCTCCACTTTCACCTTCAAAACTTCCTCCGCCAGGGGCGGCGCGGCGACCCCGGACCTCGCAGCCATGGGCGCTCTGGGGCGGTCAGGCTCGAGCGCGACTTTTTCCGGCATCTGCCGACTTCCTCCAAGTGCTGCCTTCTGGTGGGTGAGAAGAAAGCTGACTCACGGAACTGACGGGGGCCCAGGGACGTCCCCTCCCGGACACCCTCCCCACAGCCACAGCCGCGCGCGGAGGCTCTCACCCTTCCCGCCCGTATCCGCCGGGAGCCCTCACCGCTCCACGCGAGAGCAAACCAAAACAAAGCCAAGCCGGAAGTGCGTCACGGACCCTGCGGTGCCCACACTCCCCATTTCCGGGCTGCGCTGTGCTCCTGGGAAGATTGAGAAGCGGGTGGGTGGGGGCTGAAGAGGAAGAAAAGATTAAAGTGCGTGGCCGGGTGTGGTGTTGCACGCCCGTAACCCCAGCACTCGGGAGGCCGAGGCAAGAGGCTTGGCGTGAGTTCGAGACCAGCCTGGGCTCTCCAGTGGGTTCAAGGCCAGTTTGAACCGCATAGTGAGACATTGTCTTAAAAAAAAAAAAAGCCTTACATATGTAAGTGTACAAACTCCCCACGATGAATGCAATCGTTATGCACTGCAAGCATGTACTAGTAAAACAAAAACAAACCAAAGGCTCTGGGTGGTTTTCTGTCCTTACTAGAGGCTGGGGGGAGGGGGGGCGGTGGAGATAGGAGGGGGATCCTGGGCTGCTTCCTACCATTCAATGCATAAATACATTAAAAAATGGTTTAAGCGCTGGTGGCCGAGCTCTGGCGCAGGGAACCTTTAGGATTGGGAGAAAACGAAAGAAATTCTCGCTTCTGTGTATGTCAGATGTTATGGCTTTGAATCTAACAATGATTAGCAAGCTGAATGGGGCAGCGCCCACCTGTAATTCTAGCACTCTGGGAGGCTGAGGCAGGAGGATCTTAAGTTCTATCAGAGCCTGTGCAATTTAGTGATTTAGCGAGAATTTATCTTAAAAATAATTTTTTAAAAAGGCTGGGGATGTAGCTCTGTAAAAGGTTCAGTATCCATTATTGAAAAGAAAGAAAAAAAAGGAAACAGGGTGGAAGAATATATGTCTTGTGTGATGTTAAGCAGCTGGTGACTTGAATAAAACCAAATGTACAATTCAAATTCAAAACTCTGGAATTCCACTACTATAAATTCATTTACTGTAACCGCCCCCAAATTGCCTGGTTAGTTCCTTCCTTCATTCAAGGAGCGTATGTGACCACCTACTGTGCTTTTTGCTTGCAGGAAAGTACAAGTCCAATTTGATATGTTGACTGTAGCACTAATAGTGACTATTTGTGAACACACGTGCAGTACTAAATAAAATATTCATCTCCCTTTTTCTTTCTTTCATTCTTTCTTCTCTCTCCTTCCTCCCTCCTTTCCTTCCTTCCTTCCTTCATTCTTTCCTTCCTTCTTTTTCTTTGTCTTTTTTTTTTTGGTTTTTCTCCGGTACCAGGAACCGAACTCACGACCTTGCGCTTGCCAGGCAGGCGCTTTGCCCCTGAGCTAAATCCCCAGCCCTTTCTTTGTCTTTTTTTCCCCCTAAAACCAAAACCCAGGGTCTTGTGCATGCTTGGCAAGTGTTCTACCACTGAGATACATCCTCAGCCCATTAAATAAAATATTCTTAAACAGACTTGACACTGGATTATGCAGCTAACCCCAACGTTCACTTTCCTCTTCCTGTAAATTCAGAGTTTGAAGAAGAAAGATGATCTTTATAGGTTTTCCAGTCCCCAAAGGATGTGAGTATGGTATGAACTGATCTAAATGAAGAAAGAAAAGATGTTCTTTCAATATTGAGAGAAGTATCTACTTCAAAGAGCTAGGTTAACATACAATAATGACTTATTGATAGATGAATTTTAAGTGTCCATAATCAGTTCCCTGGTGTAACTATCAGCACAAATATTAGCAACTGATATTTTACTCAAAACACTGCAGTTTAATATGATTTGCAGAGAAAAATCTTCAGTAATTAACAAATAATAGGCAATATTATTTTTAAAACCCTAGAGAGATCATGGCCTATTGAGAATTTCCTAGTAAGACTTTTATACTGGGTTCTGTGGTACATGTGTGTAATCCCAGCTATTTGGGAGCTGAGTCAGGGAAGGATGCTAAATTCCACATCAGCCTGCGTAACTTAGTGAGAGCTTGTCACAAAATAAAAAAGGCCTTGAACTTGCTATGTAGCCTAGGCTGGCCTCAAACTCACTGCAATCCTCCTGTCTCAGCCTCCAGAGTGCTGGGATTACAAGCGTGCACCACTATACTCCACACATTCAAAATCTTTACCTTAGGAAAACAACTTGGAAATTTGTTTTATATGACTTTGTGTGACTTAGTGCAGAGAATGCTGGACTAGAAATTCTATAAATTCTAAGACCTAGACTTTCTTTGGACAAAAGATTGAGATGTGATTTTGGACAATTGGCTAAGGACTATGAACCTTCTATTTCTATCTAAAAGAGGGACAAAATAGACCCCATAATCTATTCAAAACATTACTAAATTTTTAGCTGATCACACACAAGCTCTTTGTGAAAATGAAGTTTTTGTTATTTGCCTTAGTTACTCCTGAGTACTTAGCACTTAGAACATAGGGGGTACTCCATAATACTCTGTTGGTTTGGGGAGACTGTGTAAGAAGAAATATTAACAGGACAGGGTAAGAGTGTTAAGGAACTAGAGATGTAGATGATTGAGGATCACTTGTATGTGTGAAAATATGTAAACCAAGTATCTATTTCATAATTAATATGTTTAAGGTCAATCCCAGCCATGTTTATCATAATAAGTAGATCTAAAAAATGTCTTGTAAGAGTTGACTATAACAATGCTATTTTAAATTTGGTGTGTTAGTGCACACTTTTAATCCCAGCACTGAGAAGGCTGAGGCCGGAGGATCTCCACAAGTTTGAGGCTAGCTTGGGCTACATAGTGGGTTCAAGCCCAGTGTGAACCACATAGCAAGACCTTATCTCAAAAAAAAAAAAGAGACATTATAGCTATTATCCATGAATTACAAATTGTTCTATGGTCATATATAAAAGTTTATTAAGATTATCAATAAAAAAGCAAAAACAGAAATACAGTTTACATACAGTAAATGATTAACCTTGCCCAAAGAGCTGTCTGGTCTTTAATTTCAGCTAATGTGAGATAGTCTCTCAACCCTTGGAATAGCCTGCTTGATAAGTGTCTCTATTTACTTTAGGGTATTGGGCCATGCCAGATAGTCTATGTTAACAGTTTAATTTATGGTGGAGGTATCTTGGGCCATGATGTATAAACTTGACCTTTGGAGGGCTAGAGACTAAGATTAGTCATAGGAGCCGTAAACCATGCTCACAGGACTGAGTTTCAAAAACATCTTTGTTTTTGAAAGACTCAAGTGAGCTTCCCTAGTTGGCAATGCTTTATGTATATTATCACAGGTTGTTGCTGATGTTAGCACTGTCTGCACCAATCGACAGAACACCTAGAAGCTCTATGCTTGGAACTCTTCGATCCTATCCTACTAGCCTCTTCTCTTAGGAGATTTTATTTTTAACCCAGTGCTAGGGATGCAGCCCAGAGTACACTATCACTGAGTTACATCCTAGAACTTTTTAATTTTTTAAAATTTAGAGACAGAGTCTCAATAAATCACTAAGTTGACAAGCCTGGGCTCAAACTTGAAATCCCCCTACCTCAGGCTCTCAGAGTAATGGAATTACAGGCATGGGCCACAGCATCTGGCTTCTGTGGCCTAATTTAAAAAGTATATATTTTTGCAGTGTGAGCTTAACAGCTTTCAGTGAGTTGAGTCCTTCCTGGAAATTATCAATGCTGAAGATGGGATTTTTGGGGACTCCTGAATTTCCAGCAGGTGTCAGAATGGAGGGTGAAGTCAGGGATTCATGAATTGTACAACATGTGTATTCTTCCTTTCATGTAGGTTGGTAGAACATTTCCTCACATGATAGTAATAGTTGTTTGGGTTGCTGAAAATGTCAGTGGGAAATATTCACGCAAGATCAAGACAGCTACCTAGCAAAGTCTTCCATAAAAATGTATATTGTTACCTGAGGTTGTGAGATTTGAAAACTTGTCTTAGAGTTTTGGAAAGCAGTATTTAGTTGTTGGATATTCCTAGGCAGAAAAGAGAAAATAAAGTGGTACTACACATTTGTATCTAACATAATCTCTCCAGATGTCCTTTTGCTATAAGAGCTTTATCTGCTCAGATCAGATATATAGATATAAATATATGAGAAACTGATCGTTTGTCTCAATTTCACTTGTAGGAATGTATCCTATAGTTATATTTGCACATCTGAAATGACAAATATAGACAAATATGTATATAGAAAAGCACTGTTTACTGTAGGAAAAATGGAGATAAATGCAGTGCCCACCAGTAAGGACCATAGTATAGTATATTTGAATAATGCAATGCTATTCACACAGTAAGACAGTGAGAATGCTATGCTATAGGGAATGATCTCCATGTATTATCTATTTTATAAGTAAATATTAAAATGTAAAGAACATTTATCTCAGCATGGTCACACACACCTGTAATTCTAGCACGAGGGCGGCTGAAACAGGAAGATCACCATGAGTTTGAGGCCATCCTGGGTTACATGGTGAGTTCAAGGCCAGCTTGAATTACATCGTGAGAACCTGCCTCAAAGGAAACAAACAAAAACTTAAGGAACACTTGTAAACGACTTAAATGGAGGTAAATATATTAGAAAAATTGCTATGGACTTTAGACAACTTATGCACGTTATAATAAGCCAATTCAGTGAAAGCAAAATTAAGCCATAGTGGCAAAATTCTATACTACGTCCCCTCATAGATTATTCTGTTTTTATTTTTAAATGGCAACTCACACATAGAACACATACAGTACAGACTTTCACCAGAGGCTTTGTCCTAGATAGGAAGCTACGTACACGTGACTTTAGGCTCCCTGAAGTGTCTTCTAACCTCCTCATACCGTATCTATTTACGGAGTCTGCAGTTCCACAACGGTGTGTTCCTATGGCCCCCTAAATGATGAAACTCTTCTGCTTGTCTGAAAGTTTTGTAAACCGTGAAGCCTTGGAAAACCTAAAGTACCATACCTTGGTGAGAGATTATTAAAGGTGGAACTCCAGCTGGGTGTGGTCGCATGCCTGTAATCCTAGCACTCAGGAGGCTGAAGCAAGAGGATCGTTGCGAGTTTGAGGCCAGCCTGGGCTACAAAGTAATTTCAAGACCAGCCTGAACTGCATAGTGAGACCCTGTCACAAA